AAGGGAAGTCAGGGATACAGAATCAGCTGTGGAAGAAAGAGAAGACAAAAATCAGAACAGATATTCTTCTATTTCCCCACAGGATTACCAAGCCAAGCTGCTTGCTACCTCCAGGACTATGTTTGAAAGAGTTCCCTAACTCTTTTCTTAGCCTGAAATTCTGGAGTGGCTTTGCCCATGCAAAGCCAACGATCCTACTCACAAGAAGGAACAAACCAGCTTCCTGTTAAATAAAGCACTTGGAAATATGAGCTGTCAGATGCTCTCACTGACCAGCAAAAGGGATCAGCATCCAGGCCCACTTGGAGATGGGTTTTTAAATATCACAAATAAACTTAAATCAACAAAAAAATATTCCTGACCCAATAAACCCACAATACCTCAAACCATCAAAACAAAAATAGTTCTGGAATGACAGCTACACCTCTGCAGACCACAGCACAAAAATAACACTAAAGAATTTCTGACACCTTCCTTTTGAAGATGCTCTTACAGCATATTATCATAGTAAAGGGGCATTCCCTACATCTCTAACCAGAACTAGAGCTAGAGCTATCAGTTATTTCACATACTCACGTGTCTGTATGGTGGCCTTAGGAGAAGCTGGCAACAGCTCTTCTAGTACCACACCTTGGAGGTTCAGATTGAGTCAAAAGCACCACTGAAACCAGCGTGTCAGGAGCTAACTGAATAATGAAAGTCATTTTCTCCATTTCTGTGACAGAAAAGCCTTCCATTTGGACAGCATTATTTGCAGCCAATTATTCTGCTACTTCCAGCAGTGCTCCAAGGAGCTGTATCACTTCTCCGCAGAGCTCAGGAGCTATTAATTAGGTTAATCTCCTATAGTCTCCAGTTCCTTTTGCTTGCATAATGCACAACCTGCAGTGCCATATGACAGGAGCTTTGAGTGCTATCTCTTGCTCTGTATTACCCTCATAGGACTGAGGAACCCATCCCAGCCAGGGAAAGAACAGCTTTTGATTCTTGGATTAGGACACAAAGTGCCACAGTTTATCCTAACAGTGGGAGGAATAAAGAGGAATACCTGGCATACTCAGAATTCCACCTTAGGGCAAAGCCCAAGTGACACTGCCCTACAGCAGGATTTGAAAAGTTCAGAGTCCATCACTTAATAAATACATTTTGGCAAGAACCTGCACGATTCTCTTTGACATGTATTTCTCCTTTGTAATGACTCAGTGCTTGGTCTCTAGGACTTCCATATCCCTGACACACTTGCACTCGGATTACTAGCAGGAGGATCACAAACTTAGGTAGTCTCATATCTGTGCAGCATTTAAAGTCAAGGAACACTAGGCTTGGTCAGTAAGACGTCCAGTTTTACAATTTTCCATCATAGCTGCCTACACCTTTTAACATAAACTCGAAAAAGAGACAAAATTCCACCCTACCACTGTTGCAATAGGGAACTGAACTCTGATTTCAGACATTTTCCTCCTGCTTGAGCAGGGACATTGTAC